GTGTCCTAAGATGAGCTCAACGAGAACAGAAATCTCGTGTGGAGCAAAAGGGCAAAAGCTCATTTGATTTTGATTTCCAGTACGAATACAAACTGTGAGAGCATTTCCAGTACGAATACAAACTGTGAGAGCGGAGAGCGGAGAGCGGTGAGAGTGGTGAGAGGGGAGAGCGGAGAGCGAGAGCGAGAGCGGAAACTGTGAGAGCGGGTGAGAGCGTGAGAGCGGTGTGAGAGTGGAGTGAGAGTGACGTGATAGCACTTGGTAGGGAATTGTAGGTAGGATGATAGGATAGAGATGCCGCCGCCGACGCTGTCCACGCGATGAGTTGGCTACAGGAGATGTGCGGTGGCAGCCATGCAGAGCCCACGGCGGCGGGGGCATTCGGGAGGCTAGGGTAAGACGCGAATATTGCCGAGAGCCAGGGACAAGGGAAATCGAGGAAAGGACGTGGAGCGCGGGTGCACAGACGGTGGGAGAAACCACGGCTTGGCCGGTGTGGATAGGGAAGGAGGGTACTTCGGGTGGGTGGTGACGGTGGCGAGAGCAAGGGCCAGGAGGAATTGGCGATGAGCAGGCGTGGATAGGGAAGGGGGGCACTAAGAGAGGGTGGTGACGGCSATACTAGTGAGCATGAAGGGGGTGCTTTCTTGGGTGAGAGCGCAACACACAGGGGAAGACGAGACAGCGGCGCTGCGAGAGCAATCTCTGGGAAGGGAGAGTTGGTCAACGGGGGTGCTCTTGTGAGTGTGCACGCAATGCACAGGTACCGAAGCGATAGCAGCCGCGAGCGTGATGCATAGGAAGGAATAGTGGTCAACGCTGGCGGAAGGCATGGAAACAGTGCTGCGATAGCATCCCAGACGCGCGACGACTGCGGCTTGTTGCTTTAGGCCACCTTGAAGGGCCTAGCACGGTGATACGACAACGACAGGAGCACATGAGTTGACGCCGGCTGCAATCCATGTGGCCTCTGGAGACGATGCTCATCTCTTGGCGGTTAGCAGTGGCGTGGATACTTAGTGAGGCCGGAGGCGTGCTCCTATACGTGGTGATTTCAGCGGAGGCATGTAGACCATGTGTGCGGCTTTTAACTACCCGATTGGCTCAACGCTTGAGCATACTTGTCGTGGTGGCGATTTGGGCGACAGTGATACTGCGCATGTGCGAGGGCCTGCTCCGTCTACGACATCGGCGGACTCGACCACGACCTCAAGCGAGCAACGTGCGGCAGGACGCGGATCCCCAGGCGATACCGCCCGGGTACGAACAGGTGAACCGATGGGAAATTGTGACGGTGGTACGACACCAAGTGTACATGCGGCGGGTGCAAGAGTGAGGAGGGGAGTGGAGCGAAAGGGGGAACGGTAGGAGGTGGCGCCACACGGGGGGAGCGTGGCCGGACCGGGCCAGGTGAATGGAGGATTGGGAGCGGTTATGGGGGATTGGGTTGCTGTTGCTGGGATGGACCCTAGCTAAGCAAGCGGATGGACTATAGCAGATAGTGRCGACCTTCTGGGGTGCATTGTCCCTGGTGTGGAGGGCGACGATCGGGGAAGTGGGATCTGTTGCGATTCGAGGGTGCACGTGGGCCTTGGCCTACATCATCTGTCGGCACCTCCTCTTTGGCGGAGAGAAATTGGCGACCTGGTGGATTGCGTTTAGCACTGCTGCCTGGATAGATCGCCTAGCGGCGCTCATTGTCGCATTGGAGATCGGTCGGCGAGGAGGTCTTTATTGCATAGCCACGACTGCCATCACTCGGTGGCTATCTCATCGGGAGCGCAGGCGGGTGCAAGCGGAGATTCGGAGGATCGAACATCGCATTTGGAGTGATGAGAGCTGGCTACTAGCCTTTGACCCGCAAAGGAGGGCGCCGACGCACGCGCGGTGCCAGAGTGGCGGCAATCGCAGTGGGAAGGGACGCCCGATTGATAGAGTGGCGACAGCAGTGCGACGCAGCCCCTCCACCAATAGGATCGCCCACCAGGAGAGTCGAGCGGCGCTTCGGCGCCATCGAGCAAGGTGGGCGGCAGTTCGGCCCCGGCGGCGGTCAGTCCGACCACCTCTACGCCAGCCTTCGGACTTACCTCAAGCTCGAGGACGGCAACCCCGGCCACAGCAGGACGAGACACATCGAGCAGGAAGGCAGCCCCCATCGCAGTTGGCGGCGGCGACCCAAGGTGCGGGGCAGGCGGAGCGGCCGGGACAGTAGCAATCGGGCCGGGCTCTAGAACCCCACAACCCGCGGGGTCAACGGTGGGGCCTCTACTCAAGTGATARCGACACAACGGACGGAGAAGACTTCGGAGTTAGTGGCACTGGGCGAGTTGAGACATGATGGAGGCGCCGGCACAGGATGGCGTGGGACCACAAGCGATCCACCCCCAAGCTGGCCCATCACAAGGGCATCGTACAGACTGGCAAATTATGAAGGCGGTCAGGAGAGCGGCCCTAACACGCTCCTTCGTTACGGACCCGGCTGCGGACACCAAGACTGCGGATGGCGAGCTCATCCTCCAGGTGGAAGAGAAGATGGCGATTGCGCAAATCACTTATATGCGCGCTCACATCATCGTCATGCGCTTCGAGGGCCCTCTGAAAGACCTGGCACTGCAAGCCAAGTTGGATTGGATACGCTGTTGGGAGTTGGAGAACTGGCCAGAGAAAGGCCAGGCCTCGTATCAAGGTCGAGCGATGGTGGAGGGAGGGGCGCTGGTCTTCTATTGGGCCCCCACGGCTGCACTGCGAGACTGGGTGCTTGACGAGCGGGGAAGTGAGGGTATCAGACTGGGCGACTGCACACACCTGGTTCGGTTCACATCCTGGAAGTCGCCAGTGGAGGTGAAGTGGGAGAGGCTGCAAGAGCGGAAGGCGCAGCCATGGGTGCGCTTCGTGCAACCGCCTTCCATGGCGGTGTTAATGCTCCGGCAGCTGGCGGAGTCGTTCTTCGGGGCAGTCAGGAACCCTGAAGGCACGTGGGCGATTGACGGCGATGGCAGAGAGACAATTAGATTTGACCTCTACCCCCCGCTCCGCTCGCAGGGGCTGGAGCGCTTGGCTGTGGCGCAAGCGTATTACGGTCGGCCGGAGGTGAGAGGGGTGACGAGTGAGACCCCGTGGTGCGATAATTGTCGAAGGCATGGCCATCTCACACGAAGGGGTCGCTGCGTAAACATGGCGGAGACCAAGGAGGAACTAGCCCGTAGGGAACACCTGCTGAGAACTGACCCTGGCCTCCCTCGGGATGATTTCACGGAGATCGCGTGCTGGGTAGATTTTGAAAAAGAGTTTGATACGGTGATATTCACGGAGATTGCCACCGAATCCAGCCTGGGCGGCGGGATGGAGGTAGGGGACCGGCAACTGCTTCAACCGGCTCCTCCGCACCAGGCCGCGGCCGCTGATGGGGCGGATGGAGCCCATTCACGGCAACCAGCCATACCAGATCAGGGTTCCAACAAAGTGCCTGAGAAGCAAGGGCTTGCAGGCCCTAGGGAGCATCATCGAGGAGGACAGGGGCAACAGAAGGAGCAAGAAGCCCCCTGGTCAACAGCCGGACGCCCGTCAGAAGCCCGAGAGGCAGCCGTCAGCCGGGGGTCGTGCACAGCAGGTCAAGCACATGCTGCGAGAGCATCAGCAGCGTCAGCATCCGCCACCGCAGGCACCACCGAAGCCACAATCCCCCCACGAACACCACGAGCACCGTCGACAACAGCAGATGTTGCCGCAAGCATCAGCGTCAAGGCAGAGGCACCTACTGCACCAGCCGCCACCATCCCAGCCAGCGCCATCGCAATATCAACAAGAACTGAATACTGTACCCCAGCAAGCGCAGGCGGGGCTGCTCCCCCTGAGGCCTCCAGCACACACAACAGCCAGAGAAGTCATTGTGCTATCGGGGGATACGCAACCAGACCAGACCGTCGCACGGGAGGTGGGAGGTCAGCGAGAGGGGGGGGAGCAACCGGCGCCAATGGAGTGCTGCGAGAACAAAGAAGAGCAACAGCCAGCGATGGTAGCGCGCTCCAGCGACCAGAAGAGTGGAGATGGACGTGCAACGAACCCGCAGCCCTACGAACAACCTGGCCACCATGAGGAGAGTCGGTCCCGTGGGCAGGAGACAAATCCAGAAGCACTGGCGGGAGGAGGTGCAGTCAACAGTGGCCAGGCTGGGGGACAGGTCAAAGGGCCGCCTCCTAATCAGCACCAACAGCCGGGACAACGGAGAGAGGGTAAGGATGTGATGAGACCCCAAGGATTGGGTGTGGAGCGGATTGGGACAGAGCCGCCTCCTTTCGTCCATAGCCAGCAACGATGCGGCAGCGCGGTGGCCGAGGCCTCGGCACGTGGAAGGCGGACGCCAGCTCAGGTGCCCAAGCCAAAAGGAAGATCGAAGTTTAAGCGAGGACTTGTCGGCACGGCCGAGACCGGACCACTTATACGACCCCACGGCCAGAGGTTGAAACGAAGGGTTGCAACCAGAGTGCTCTGCTATGGGACAACCTCCAGGGGCAGATTCAGCAGCCAGAAGGACAGGCGAGGACGTCGGCAGCAGAAGACCCCCCCCCGCTCGGCGGCGGGGCCCCAGGCTATTCCGGGAGCGGACTCTGGCCTTCTGGATGGCGTTAAGGACCTCAAGCTTGGGCCGCCTCAGCAGCAGGAAGAGGGACCTCCGCAGAATGGTCAGGGCTTAAACTTCAAGCGTGGACGCCAGCGCAAGCAGGGTAGGGGACGAACGAGCAGAGAAGCATCACCTGTCGACCTTCCGGAGGAATCGGAGCAGGACAAGAGGCGAAGGACCCTCGAATCCCCGATAGGTAAAGCGACGCAGCACCCCGAGGGCAAGGACTGGCAGCACTTCGTGGAAATTACGAGCTCTTCCTCCCAAGCCCTCGAGCCTGCCCTCTCCCTGCCTCCTTCTCGCGGCCCCTCGGCCCTCCAACCCCTTCCATCCCCCCCCTCCAGTCAACCACGGTCGGCCAACGCTGGTAACCCGCAAGGGCACCAACCCTCGCACCTATCGCCTTCGTCCTCCCCGGACGACGACGGCATAGAGGAACAGAACTTAGGACAGTCACTGAGGGGCGCCCCGGGCGCCCCTGAAGATGTGGGGCACGTGAATGATCACGTGCAATTGGCACGTATACTCCTCCTTGATGGGAGGTTTGATGAACTCCGATCGCAGGGTCGGATTTGCATAGTCCCTATCATATGCCGCCTGTTTGACGGCAAGATACAAGCCATGCTGTACCACCGACCTGAGACTTCGCAGGACCCGGCCATCCCATTTGTCAAGGTAAGCGAGCACCCTTCCATGCAGCGAGCAGTCGCTGTAGCGGAACGGGGGGCGGGCCCTGCATATAAGATCTCCCCCGTCAAGGGAATCTCGGCAATTAGACTATTGTTGAAAGGATCGGCCACTCAGACAATAGGGGCGTATTGCTTTATGCTTCGGGCAGAGCCAGCCACGAGGGCTCCCTTTCCTCCGCAGGACCCCACCTTTACATGGTGTGACCTCTTCCCCCTCATTAGTGAGGTTGGAGATGTCCTGGAACAGTCGGTACATCCTGGCCAATCGGCCTCCTTCTTGGCCCTGCTCAACAAGCATCTCCCCAAGAACAAACGATTCACGCACCCATCTTTTACTGCCGACCCACAGCTGTGGCTACGAGGACCACGCCCTCTTGGGAGGAAGGCGAGATCTGGTGATGCTCCTGGCCCATAGCCCCTGTCGCCCTGGACAGACTGATCGTTGAAATGGTAGTCTGGGATAGAAACGTTAGACTAGATTAGAGTCACACATACACCGTGTACTATGCCGTCCTTGAAGTGTTTCAGTCAAGGGTGCTACCTGTTAGGAAGTATAACGACGCATGGTTTGCTGGTTGGTAATATCCTGTGATGTATATAGCCAGGCATCTGACGTAATTGTATGGTAGTGTAGGCTCAACTACTTGATTGTGCTAATTGGGGAGAACGATCCATAGCCATACATACGGGCATGACGAGTCGCCTGTATGGTAAGTATAGATACTATTGAGTAACTGCCTATTGGCTGACTGTGAATACTGGTAAGATTGCATTGGTCACGTCTAGACAGGCGACCTTGCTGGGGTGCCTGTATGACAGTGAGGACACAAGGGTTTGATTGTGTTGACCGGGGAGGGACGTACGCCGAGATGCGTGTGGATTGGTTGAGTTGACTGTAGCGGGATAGATCTAGTTGTTTGTCTGGGGTGACCAACTACAAGTGGGTACGTAGGCCAGGTGGAAATTAGGGCGTGGCAGTACGCCGTGTGTGCCACGTCAGCGTGGTAATTAGGGTGGGGCATTGTACTTAGGGTGTGGTGGCTGATTGATTGGTTAGCGTTGCTGAAAGGATTGCGATTGCATTGTACCCACAGTGTGACCACGAGGGCATGGCAATCAGGGCGTGGGGAGTGGTGCAGGGCTGGACTGCAAGGTGTGGCTACGGCGTGGAGCCTCGAGCGGCGCAGTGTGAAAGCTCGGGCTGATTGTGTATGACTGCACTTCCCCGGTTGTGTTGACTGTATAGTGGAGTAGGTCTATTTGTTTGACTGGGTTGATCAACTATAAGCTGGTACGCAGGCCCGGTGGAAATTAGGGTGTGGCAGTGTACGCAGTGTGTGGGGGTAACCTTGAGCTGATTGCCATAGTTAAGCCTGTATTTGGCATTGTATTCACAGTGTAACCACGATAGCATGGTAATCAGGACTTGGTATTGTACTCAGTGTGTGGTGGTTGAGTGATCGGTGACCACGGCTGGACTAACTCAGTGTGTGATGGTTGATTGGTTGGGTATTTTGGATTGCGACTCACAAACCTTGAGGCCATTTGGACAAATTGCTAATCTTGAGCTGATTGCCTGAGTTAAGCCTGTATTTGGCATTGCATTCACAGTGTGACCACGACGGCATGGTAATCAGGATTGGTATTGTACTCAGTGTGTGGTGGTTGAATGCTTGGTTACCACTGCTGGAAGGTTTGCGATTGTATTGTATTCATGGTCTGTTTGAATAAGTAGCTGAGGGCTGTACAGACTAAGGCTGCATTGTCATGATAATCAGGGTGTGGTGTTTATTCCTGGGCTGATTGTCATAGGTCCGACTGCATTGTGTGTGGGTTGATGGCGTGTGACTGCACTACCTCGGACTCGCACACGACGCCAGCATCGATGGTAACACCCCAAGCCCTTAAAATTGCCTCGCTTAACGCTCGGGGGCTCGGCCCTGCGTCGTTCTCCGCCAAGTGGCGGGAAATTAAAGGCCTAGTTGATAGGGAGAAGCTCCACATTCTTTGTCTCCAGGAGACGAAGCTCAGTGATGCAAGGCTGATGGACGGCCAGCTTCCGCCCGTGAAGGCCAGATTCCAGCTGTGGGCCCCGGCTGAGGGAACTGTGGGGGGGGTTGCGGTGCTCTGCACACGATATTTTAAGGGCGAGGTGCTTGACTATTTTGCAGACACATTAGGGCGATGGGCCTGGATCTACGTCGATATAGCGGGCGAGCGCTTAGTTATCGCCACGATCTATGCCCCCTCCCAGGTCCAGGACAAGCGCCAATTCTGGACCCACTGACCGGCGTCCATACCGGACACAACAAAATTGCTCCTGATAGGGGACTACAACACCACCACGGAACCCCCACTGCGCCCAGATGGCCAACCCCAGCATAGATTGGACATCCAGACAATGCACAATACACTCAATGACATGGGCTTAGAGGACGCGTTCCGCTCACTGTGGYCTCATCATCCGGGGGTTACATGGGTAGGCTCATCCCTAAGAAAGCGTAGCAGGTTGGACATGGCATGGGCGACAAGGGAATTGATAAGACAGCTTCTTGACTTCACCATCATCCCGATCGCCCGCTCTGACCATAAAATGATTATCACTGTGTTTGCCATGCCCTCCCTACTGAGAACGAACCCCCCCCCGGCAACAGCCCCGACGTGGATGTTCTTGGATCCGGCGTATAAGTCCTTCATTTTGCAGCACTGGGAATACTGGGCGGAGCTGCGATCTCCCTCCCAGTCGACCCTGTCATGGTTAGCGGAGGGCACCGCAGCCCTCCTCAGGCTGCTTAAAGCCCGTGCCGCGGCATCGAAACGTGCCCGGCGACGCACTGCCGACAAGTTTGCCCAAAGGGCGCTGGATCTAGGCGACGGTC